ATTTAAAAAATATTTTTAATATATGTTACAAAAGTATACTTGTTAATATTACTTTTATATGTTAATAAATATATATAAATTTTTATTTTCAGTTGTTATTTATTACTGGCGAGTCACGCAAGACTCTCAGCGACCCCAGGAACAAAAAAGACGTGAAGCCTTTTTTTATAACTATCATTGTTTCTCAAAGTTCATAGAGTTTCCAGAGGCCTGTGGTTTAAGAAATGGATGCCACTCCTGCTTCCATATTTTCATTTACATCCTTTAATTATATTTTTTGTATGTTTTCTATTATTTTACTGTCTTCAGTAAGCGCTTCAAGTCTTACTTTCTGCAAGCCAAGTTGTGTCACCTGACCTGTCAAAGAAAATAGAATTACCCCCTGTTTCTGAAGCAGGGACTTCTGAGAGATGTTAGTTCATTCATTTTTTTCTTGCAGGCAGGTAGCTTTGAACCTGCAACCTTTGATTTACCAGAGCCCTTGTTTTAACATCCAAGCACTCCTCCCTGTGCCCTGCAGGTGGCACCAGAGTCTTGACCAGCCCAGAGATTCCCCTTCAGAAAACATTCATTTCCCCCCCTCTAAAACACACAGTTTTAGCCCCAAATGCATCCTTATCAATTGCAGAAAAGCTGGTCGTGGAAAGATAAGAACATGAACCTTTGAACACACCCAGCAAACAGCTCAGATACAGTGGCCAGCAAACAGAAACTAAATATCCAGGGTCTTTTTTTCAGTGCCTTTTTTTGGAGCTACCAAACTTTGCATCCTTATTTGTCCCAAAATCCTTTGTTTTTTTCTGCTTTAGACTTGTCTGGGGTGATATTTTATGTAAGTTTGCAAAGAAATGTGAGTGTCCGGGCTGCTTATTTCTGAGTGTCCTTTTCTCCCTCTGAGCTGGGATTCTTTGATGTCCACATGGGGTTTTTAACCATAAGACCAGTGCTTTCCATCTCCTGGTGGAGAAATATGATCTTTTCCCGTAACAGCATCGTAAAATAGACAGACAGGCGTCATCATGCTGGCTTGGTATAGACAGACATCAGTACACTTGACACCAACTGCCAGGCAATCAGGAGCATTGCATTGCATTGGGAAAATCTGCAGTGAAAAGACGTCTTCATTTAACCGGGGAGCAATGATGGTACTTTAAGGACTAAGGTGCACCTGTTTCAGGTCATCGTTCATTCAAATCGCCTCTGAGAGCTGGACAATAACCCAAGATGACAGAAGAATGGGTAAATTTGAAGCTGTGGTGTTGGAGAAGAGCACTGGATACCCCATGGATGGTCAAAAGAACAAACAAACAAGTCAGATGTTTCTAGGGCCACTGGGAGACTTAGCAATGAGATTCTGGCAAAACCCACATCTATTCTCGAACCATCTATTACCAACTGTCTGCTGTCTTTATCGAGCCTCTCTCTGTCTGTTCTCTTATCCATCATCTATCTACTTATCTGTCTTCTGTATTGACTCTCTGGTTTTCACACGTGTGAAATACGAAGCAGATGAAAATGTCGTGGCCTGTGCCCCACGACGCATCTTAGTCTTGAAACGGGCATCCTTGCTCTCGAGTGCTTTGGAGAGGCCCATGGTGGAACATTGGCCCGATCAGAGGCGTCTTTGGTGTTCTTGACGGGTGCTTCTCTGTGGCTGTTTTGGAAGAGAAAAATGGGACTGCTGTTTTGGGTAAAGATTTACAGCTTTTGAAGGAGGGTCACCGTGAATGGAAACTCCATGGCGACATATGGTTCAGATCTATGTCCATATGACCCCTATTTCTATAATCTACATCCATATGACCTGTATTTCTATAATCTCCAGCAGTATCTGTTTCATCCTTCCATCCACCATCCATCCATCCATCCATCCACCGTCCACCAGCCATCCATCCACCGTCCACCATCCATCCATCCATCCATCCATTCTCCATCTATCCATTCTCCATCCATCTATCCATCCATTCACCATTCATCCTTTCATGCATCCACCATCCATCTACCCACCATGGGTGACTGTGTAGATGGATGGATGGATGGATGGATGGATTCCTGGAAGAATGGATGCATGGATGGATGGATGGATGGATGGATAGATTCCTGGAAGAATGGATGGATGGATGGATTGATGGATGGATTGATGGATAGATTCCTGGAAGAATGGATGGATGGATGAATAGATGTACGTATGTATGGATGGATGGATGGATGGATTCCTGGAAGGATGGATGGATGGATGGATGGATGGATGGATGGATGGATGGATGGATGGATGGATGGATGGATTCCTGGAAGAATGGATGGATGGATGGATGGATGGATGGATGTTGGATGGATGGATTCAGTGGATGAACGAATGAATGGATAAATGAAGCAGATGAGTGGGTGGATGGATGCGTGGAAACCTGGTCGAGCGTCACCATGAGTGGGAACCGCCTGGGCTGCTGTGGGTGGTGGGGGCATTGTTGTCACTCTGAAGGTGTGAGTGTGTGACCGTCCCAGGCAGCACAGCTGACCTTGTGCTCTCTGTCTTCTCCACAGGACGTGGACCCTTTGTGGAACCCCTGAGTACCTGGCCCCTGAGGTCATCCAGAGCAAAGGCCATGGCAGGGCCGTGGACTGGTGGGCACTGGGCATCCTCATCTTCGAAATGCTCGCAGGGTGAGTGGTGCGTCCCCAGAGATGGATTTCCAGTGGGCCCCCCACTCCCACTGGCTCATTCACTCAGCCTTGAAAGGGTGTCTGGTAAGGTTGCCAAGCCCTGTGCTGTTGCTGCAGGTGTATGTCTGACCTATCCACCTGTCCATCTGTCCATCCATCCATCCATTCGTCAGTCCATCCATCAACCCATCACCCATTCACTCATTCATTGATTCATCCATTCACACAGCCATCTGTCTTTCCTTCCATCCACTCAACACCAACTCATCCATCCATCATCCATCCATTTACCCATTCATCCATCCACCCACCAATTCATCCATCCATCCACACATCCATCCATCTATCCATCTGTCCATCCATCCATACGTACATTTACCATCAATCCATCTATATCCAGACATCCACCCATCCACCTATCCATCCACCCATTCACTCATCCATCCACACATCCATCCGTCTTTCCTTCCATCCACTCAACACCAATTCATCCATCCACTCACCAGTCCTTCCATCCATCCACACATCCATCCATCCATCCATCCATCCATCCATCCATCTTTCCTTCCATCCACTCAACACCAATTCATCCATCCACTCACCAATCCTTCCATCCATCCACACATCCATCCATCCATCTTTCCTTCCATCCACTCAACACCAACTCATACATCCATCCATCCATTCACACATCCATCCATCCCTTCCTTCATCTATCCATTCGTCTGTCCATCCATCCATCCATCCATCCTTCCATCCACTCAACACCAGCTCATCCATCCATCCATCTACACATCCATCCACACATCCATCCATCTATCCATCCATCCATCCATCCATCCATCCACCCATCCATCCTTCCATTTTTCCTTCCATCCACTCAACACCAACTCATCCATCCATCCATCCATCCATCCATCCATCCATCCACACACACATCCATCCACCCATCCTTCCATCCATCCATTCATCTATCTATCCATCCATCCATCCACCCACCATCCATCCATCCATCTATCCATCCATCCATCCACTATCCATCCATCCATCTATCCATCCATCCATCCATCCACCCACACATCCATCCATCCAATTATTCTTCTATCCATCCATCCATTCAACCTTTCATTCACTTTTCCATTCATCTATTCAGATAATCGTCTACTCACCACCCATCCATTCTTTCATCCATCCATCTACCTATCCATCCATGAATCTAGATTTCTTAATCTCCACTGTGGCCCAGGACGTATCCATAAAATATCCCAAAACACAATGAGCCGTGTCCACTGTCCACCTGCTTCTAGCTGTACCTCCTCCATCCTCCAACAGATGGACATAGTGACCACAGGAGGGCAGCAGCCCCTGCCCATCACTGACCATGAATTCCTAGCTATCTACAGGCAACGGGGCTGAAATGCAGCCACTGGTCAGAGCCCTTTTCCCCTAGGACCAAGATGGTGAAGTTTCTGGAAGAACAGAATATTACCACTTGCCACAGCAGGAACCAATCTTGGGGACAGAGATGGGAGTGGAAAAAAAGAACAAACTTTATTAATAAGAAGCTGCATATAGAAGACGGGGGTGTGTGAGCTTCCCAGGTGTGTCTCTCCTAGCTTGTCAGAACCTCACAGAGACACAACAGGAGACCTCGATGGTGAGAGAGAATTCACAAGGCATTTCCCAGTTCAATCTATGAACACCATGGCGTGCTGGTATTCATAAGGGACCAGCTTTTGGAAAAAGACGTCATGCTGGGGACAGATGGACGGATGGTCAGAGAAAGAGAGAAAGAACCTCAAAGAGATGGATTGACTTGGACTGCAGCAAGGAGTTTAAATATAGCTATATATCTATATCTACATCTACCATCTATCCATCCATCTATCCACCCACCCACCCATCTCTCTATCTATTTAGCTATATCTGTCATCTATCTGTCTGTCTGTCTGTCTGTCTATCTATCTATCTGTCTGTCTATCTATCTATCAATCATCTATCCAGTCTATGTATCTATGTATTATCTATCATCTATCTATCATCTGTCTGTCCATCTGTTTCTCGGTCTGGTCTACCTGTCTGTCTGTCTGTCCGTCTATCTAGTCTGTCTGTTGTCTATCTATCATCCATCTATCTATCTATCTATCTATCTATCTATCTATCTATCTATCTATCTATCTATCTATCCATCTGTCTCTCTGTCTGGTCTACCTGTCTGTCTGTCTGTCCGTCTGTCTGTCTATTTAGTCTGTCTGTTGTCTATGTATCTATCTATCTATCCATCTGTCTCTCTGTCTGACCTGTCTGTCTGCCTGTCTGTCCGTCTATCTAGTCTGTCTGCTGTCTGTCTGTTTATCTATCTATCTATTTACGTATCTAGCTGGGGTTTCTTTTTTCTTTTTCTTCTCTTCTCTTCCCTTTTTCTTTTCCTCCCTCCCTCCCTCCCTCCTTCCTTCCTTCCTTTCCTCTCTCTCTGAACTGCATATATATGTGTCTCTCTGTCTCTCTTAAAGGTAGGGGTGTGTGTGTGTGTGTGTGTGTGTGTGTGTGTCTTTCCCTGGTTCCCCACTAAACTCCTAAAATCACTTTCTCATGACATCATCCCTCCCACACCCACCCCTCGACAGCAAATCGACCGATGTTCCCCACCTCCCCATGCCCTGTGCCTTTCCTCCTCCCCTCTTTTTTTCTGTTCTGTTTCCAAGCCTGTGTGTCTGCATGATGAGGTCACCCAGCCTCAGGCGTCCAGATGGGGCCGCCGCCCCCGCCCTGGGCTGGGAAAGGATGGTGATTCCAGTGGTCCCTGCCAGCCAGGGAGAGTCCATCAACCTCTGAGACGTGATGATGCTTGTTAACTTCTGTGGTGCTGGATTTGCTCAAAGTCTAATTGCTGTAGAAGTGGAACTGACCAACAGTTCACCCTCCACAACATTTTCAAAGACTGTAAAATCGCACGAAAAGAGATGGTCCATCTTTCTCCACGAAGCAGCGGGTGGACTTGAGACCCTTGAGAGGCACTGTCTTTGAGTTCACACAAGCAGCATCATGAAAAGATGGAGAAAGTATGGAAATGGCCAAATTTTTTTTTTTTTATTTTACTTAAATCCACCATCCACACCTGTGGGTAACGGTGGTTAAGAAAATCAAAAGAGAAAATAAGAAAATCAAAAGATGTGTTTTACTGGAGAATCTTGATGTCCAGGGCCGCTGTACTAAAAAGTGCCAGAGAGCAAGGATGTCATGGTAAAGACTAAGGTGCATCAGAGCCAAATCATGGTATTTTTCTTTCCTTCACGTGCTTGCCTCTGGAAACCCTATGAACTTGAAACCTGTGCATATGAAAGTTGGGGAATGGAGAATGAAGAGAGGGTCAGGACAGGAGTCAGAACTGTTGTCCATTGAGTGACCAGGCATCACAATCCCCCTCATGTCATCTCCCAACAAAACACACTACAAACCTCACATCCTGATGCAAATCTGAAATAAAAATCTTTGCTTCATTCTGGATAATTTCCTGCCCACACATTTTTTTTCCCCCACCCATTTTTACCCTCCGCTAAACAGATTCCCTCCATTTTTCGATGACAACCCGTTCGGCATTTATCAGAAAATCCTGGCCGCCAAAATAGATTTCCCCAGAAATATGGATTTCTATGTCAAGTAAGTACTACAGTGTGTGTTTATCTCCCCCCACTCCCCATCTTGGACTACGTGTTATGTTTATTTTTTCCTGTTCTTCTTTATTGTTTGATTCTGGGTTCATTTTCATCTCACACACGTGTCTCTTCCAAGGACTGAGGCTTCCCTGTTCCTGGTGGGACTGGCCAACATCTATACCTGTGTATTACTGGCAAGGAAATGGAGCTGCCATCCTTCATTCATTCTTTGCCAGTTCTATTTTTCTTTTCTTTTTTAATTAATTTCCAGTTAAAATTTTCAGCCCATCTTTTTAGTCTGTCTGTTTCTTTCCACGACCCCTGGACTTCTTGGAGTTTCTTGTGTGTGTGTGTGTGTGTGTGTGTGTCTATGCTGGGTGATTGATTCTTTTCTATAATTATTTACACATATATATCAATTTGTTGTTGTTTTTATGTATCCTCTAGTGTATGCTTGGTGATGGATTAGCCATTTTTTTCCTCCAAGAGTTTTATACACGTATCCAACATGCTTGGCAACTTACACATTGATATTTTCATATTCTTGCACTTTATTTTTCATTGATGCACTATTAAATTTAATTACAATTCCACACACTCACAAAAAATAGTTTTACATTTTTTAAAATTCATTGCAATGAAAGTTTACAGAGACTTAGGATTTGTAGTCATTCATTGTTGCACTTTTCTCCCCTCCCACCCCTCCCTGCTAATACACAACCTTTTTGGAAAAGTAAAAGAAAAAGTCTTTCATTGTTTTACAATCTCTCCCCCCAGGTGCACTCCACTATGCAGCCTTCGCTCTGGACTCCTGTCATGACAAAAATACCTAATCACATATCCCTTTTAAACAGTATTCTCTCTCATCTGTTTCAATGCAGTATACATTATTGAACCCATCTCTCTCAGTCTCCCCTGAACCCCGATGTCAGTCCCATTTTACAACAGTGGCACCATGCAGTATTTGTCCTTATGTGACTGAGATACTTCACTCAGCATCATGTCCTCCAGGGCCACCCATTTTGAAGAATATTACATGAGTTCCTTGTTTTTCAATGCAGCTTAGTATTCCACTGTGTGAATAGACCACAACGTCACTATCCATTCGTTTGTTACTGGGCACTTGGGTTGTTTCCATCTCTTTGCCATTGTGACCAAAGCCGCCATAAACATGGGTGTGCAGTAATAGTTTTACATGTTACAAATAATTCTAA